GACAGACAGACAGAAAGACTGACAGAAATTCATAAATACGGCTGCATACATGCATTCATACATGCGTACATACAGAAGTACATACACGCATACTCACGAACAAATACATGCTTGCGTGCAAGCCAAAAAGATGTCAATGCACATGCGAACAAGCAAGTAAACGTACACACACACACACACTCATATACATGTCGTGAGCGTGGCCAATTATGATATGACAAAGCATTCAGGTGGCTTACACGATCTTGCGCACTTGCACCATCCATGCTTTCATCAGACTTTCGAGATTCGTTCCGAGATCGTTTCGTGACCCCTGCGCAAGCTTCGAGATTTGATCCTGAACCTTGTGGGGAACGTTCTCTGACTTCAGGTTCACGATCCGAACTCATAGAGCGCTGAAGGAAGGAAGGCCCTGGCCGAAGCAACATTCTTCTCACTGATGGATCCGTTGGAGTGGACCTTCGCCAATCAAGCTTTGGAAATATACACGTCTCGCAATACGAAAGTTCACAGTGGGCACCACTGCTGAGGCGTATGCAGAGTGTAACGAAGGGCGGACACCATGTTGATGCCTGGCCGCCCGCTCACCGTGCAAGCATACGTGCAAGAGTCATTCATCTTGCTCGTCCGGGATTCCGGCTACAGAAAAATTCTTGCCGAAACTCACAAGTTTCAAAAACGGCATGCCAAGGAGACGTCGTCAGCGACTTGGGTGGAAACTTCACAACCTTGCGGCAATGCCACTTCGAGCGCTGAGGTCTCAGGAGCATGCCGTCATGACATACAAAAAGCGATTCTTGTGAGGGCGTTGAAAACTTGAGAGACAAAAACGACGACGACGACGACGACGACGAATACGACGACGACGACGACGACGACGACGACGACGACCACAACCACAACAACAACAACAACAGCAACAACAACAGCAACAACAACCAACAACCATGACCACAGGATGAAAAACTAAACAATAACACAACGACAACAGTCCTCCGGATTGGGATTCAGACGAAAGGAATTGGTTCGAACTTTCTCGGCGCTACGGTAGCCCGAAGCTCCAACGAGGCAAGCAATGCGCAATGCTCTTCTGCCGACTCTCGACTCGGAGTTGAGGAGAAGCTTCTCCCGGTTCAGCCCACTGCTTCAGCAGAGTTAGGCATAGTTCACTTCGTTGTATGTCATCTGAGGCTTTCGCAGGAGCAAAGCAGCTTTCCCTGGACCGCCAACGATGCCTCTGAGACCCGGGCTCCCTTTCGCAGCGCCGTGGGGACGTCATCCCATCGCCAGAAGAGCGTCACCTGCAGCGTCAGCAACAACACGCTACCAGTAGTGAGTTGTACGTGTAGGAATCTTGCACGCAGACGTGTCGCTGGGAACCCACGTAGGCTACAGGGCAGAACATTCCGACGGCCCGAGAGCACAGCACTGACAGTACCGGCGGCCTGGCCTCGCCCTGAGCAGTCTTCTCTTTGGTGACAAAGTCGGAGAACTCCTCGAAAGCGATCAGCTGTCGTCGATCTCATAACTTCACGAGACCGAGGTTCGAGCTGGGAGTCCGCAATGCAAGAAAACGTCGAGACCTTCAAAGCGATGTGAAGTCACGTACATCACTGCATAGTTCGAGGAACGCACCTGTCTCCAAGATCTCCACCTGGGCCAGGCCATTTCTCTGCATTCATGGTCAAGGCTCCTTTGCTCAGAGACCCGGCCTGGACGTGGTGCGTTCGGTATGACGAAGGCAGGCCTTTCAGGATCCCACAGTTCCAAAAGCCGTTGTTTGCCCTCGAGAAGGATAGCCAGTGGCCTGGATACGAGGCAGAATCGATTTGCTCGATCTCGAAGTGGTACGTGTCTGGACCTGAGAAGAAGCAGCTGCCGCATCGGCTTGTCCCACTCGCACAAGCACCACGACCACCCAAACTCCCTACCCGCAGAGCTGAAACTGCATTGGAAAGCGTTCGGGACGCCACGGTAGCGGATAACATCGTCTCGGCCGAGGTCCTGCCAACAAGCATGGGCGCATGGCCTCGCCATTCACATTCTGCAAACTACTTCCGAATGCCTCCAAGGACACGCCAAGCTCTTCGTGAATGCCTCGATGAATCCTCGACCGACAAGTTGAGGCTACCAGTGAGGCTACCCGCACCCGCCGCACAAAGACGCACAATGCCGTTCAACGCTAAGTGCCGCAAAATCCAACAAATCAGTCGGGTGTGAACAGAATGCCGTCCCTGACTAAGCATTGCAACAGGGTCTACTCCACAGCACTGCTTGCGACGCAGGAAGCACAGCAGCAAATGCAGGCCAAGATGCGCTGCCAGCAGACCACCGGAGTCTCGCGGCTCCTGACATTGCGCGCCAAGTGTCCCCTTCTCTGACTCCCAAGCCACACTTTCAATGGCTTCGAGATGTTTCGCGAACAAGGGACACAAGAGCATCTGCATACGGTGCATGGGATCGGTCCAAGCAGCCATACAAAATCAATCGGTCGCCGCCTTCTTTTCGGCCAGCAGCATGTTTCGCACACGCATGCGTCCATCTGGAAACTGCTGTCTCTCCTGGCGACCCATGTTCTGTTAATGTTGAGCGCACGGCAGCAGACATACAAAGTCATTGCTGTTCTACCAAGCTGATTCTCGAGATAGCAGATAGCTTACACCTCCCTTCGTGTATCCTGCACAAGCACCCGGCTGCGAAAACGCAGGCGAATGAAGATCGGCTCCACGACACGCATGATCTTGGGGCGTCCAGGCATCGACCTCGGTACCGAACCCACACGAGGTCACCGAATTGGCTTCCGATCCAAGGTCTAGGCGAATCGGATGGCTGCTCGAGGAAGGAGCTACCCTCCTTCAGCTCCTGTGCGTCGGATTTTGCTCAACAGCTTTCTTCGGGGCCCTCTCTCAAGCCTGGAAGAGCCAGGACATCGTCTTGGTGCCGCCGGTCCCGAACTTGGAAGTGTTCACATTACATGACTCCAGGTAGTCCTGCCAAGCTCTGGAGTAGGCTCCGTAGTGTGCATTTCTGAACATCTCAGGCGCCTTCAGTGCGGCCTCAGAAGAGAGATGGGGTGGCAGCGAGACCGCCTGGAAATCGATTCGGCCTCCCTCCGTCCTGAAAAAACGCGCACTCCGCCTCTGCTGGGGACGTTGTCTCCGCAGGGGTCGGCATCGCCGCAAAAACGCGGATCTCCTCTGAAAGCATGAGGGCTGCAGGCTCGAACGACACGTTTAGTCGACGCCGAGGCTCGAACGCGGGCTGCCGAATGCAGCAAACCTTTGACAAGCGAGCTGCAAGCTGATCCGTGAACGGCAGATTTAGCGCTCACATGGCTAAGCCTTGAATACACTACCCCATCACATTTGAGATGATTTCAGACAGATGCCACGAGCTGGGATATGTACCGAAAACCGCATCAACCTCTGAGGCTCTAAGCCTCTGCAGTGATGCGTTGACTTGTGCTTGGTGTAGAATCAACATCTGTCCGCATCTGCTGCGGATTGAGGAACCAATGTGTCTGCTGCCGGACTGTGGCCGACTTAGACCAGAGTTGTATGAGAAGTGCTCAACTGTTGGAGCCCGCTACAGCTACATCGATGGCCTGGAAAGGCCACCATTGCCGGGTTCTTGAACAGCCCCACCGAGGATTAAACCAAAATCAATCAGGCACACTTCTAACCAGCAAGCGGCCTTTGATGATTGAATTCGCCTTGCTTGAAGCAGAGGATGCCTGAGATGCAGGTTCCGTGAGCAGACTCCACATGTAGCACGATCTGATATACAAAAGACGTCGTCCGCTTGACAAGCCTCTAATGCGGGCGTGTTGCAGTATGCAGTATGCGAACGCTATTTGCGCTTGGGCGTATTAAAAATTGGAGACGGGAGAGTGAGAAACCGAAGATGGCTGCGGAAAGAAGCATGCTGGCACTTCACGGCAATCTTTCGGCCACAAGCTTGGAGTCCTATGGTGCCCCACGGATGATGCAATACATGCAACTGCAATCTATCCGCTAGCAAACATGGCCGGCATCCGCTCTGACCCTCACGAGGTGCGGACGAGATAGCCGCATATCGCAGAGAGCGACCGTTTCGAAGAGCCGCACAGGAAGGCATCAGGCACGCCAGCTACACATGCACAGTGACTGCTTCAGAGATGTTTCTCAGCAGCTCTGGGCTGCGAAAAGCGTGAAGAAACTCATCCTCAATATGTCAATATGAGATGACTGTCGCCTAATTTCACTCTTCAGGGTGCAAAAAAACCTTCCTCGGCTCTGTTCGGAGTCACGTGAGTCGTACTCAGCCCCAGATTTTCGTGTCGTATGCAAGTTCTGTTCTGCTGTTTTGGGATGGAAACAAAAGCTGCTCACATGGGCTTCTAGTAGCAGGCGAGCCCTCCGTTGTTGACAGTTCGAGGATGCCAGGCAACGGCTGGTCAAGAAACTGCCCGGCAAACTGCCGCAACTGCCCTGACCGCCCTGACTTGTGGAAGACCCAAGATGACCCAAGCCTAGATCTGAATGAAAGCCACACGTCCCAGTGCCAGTGGGTTGCTGGCACCTCAGGCCCTGAGCAAGCCAGAAAACGGTGACCTCAGCCAGGCGCCACACGTGCAAGAAACCGAGCACGCTGACTCACCCAAGGTCACCACATCGTGGCCGACAGAACAGTGCGCTTGGCGAGAAATGCCAAAGAGACAGCCTCGGGCATGTCCGAATCTGTGCCCTGACATGTCAGACGGATATACCGAAGACGGACCGAGTACCCAGCGGGTCGCACATTGCGTCGCAAGTCTGCTAGGTACAATGTAAGAGCACTATAACTGTGCACCGGGTAGGAATACGATGGCTGGCTTGGCTGTGCGACTTGCTGCTGAGGTTCAACAGAGCCGTGGCTACAGCAAGACCTTGAACCAGGAGCAGCGCTCAACGTATAGGGCCTTTGTCAACTGACTTGGGCCGTCGTCAGGAATCAAGGGGACTGCCGGAGCTGCCTGTCCCTCTGGCCTTGTCGCGTTAGCAGGTCTCCGGTTCTGCCCTATACAAAATCAATCCCACTCCCAGTTGCCAAAAGCACAGGGGAAGATTCATCTAGTCAATCTAGTCAATGCCAACCTTCGCAAACATTTAGAGCAATGAAGAGTCAAGTCTGGCGGCTTCCGGCAGGATCCCATCCGTTTTTGTTAGATCTCCGTGCACTTCGCAGATCTTCGCAGGTCGCACACGTCACGCGTGTGGACCTGTCAGGATGACATCCGGGTCCGCCACGTCAACACCTCAGCCAAAACATGTGCTTGATTGTGCTTGGTCCAGGCTTAGCTCCCAGGCTGGGAGTGGGGAACCCTTGGCGCAAATGAAATGCTTGCAACTCAGCAGCAGTTCAACCCTGGCTTGAGGATCCTCAGCGCATGCCACGCACCACCGGTGTTTTTGTTGCAGATCACCTTTTCGGAGGCTGCCAGGCGACACTGGCCCAGCAGGGCTTGTGAGGGCCAACGTACCTTCGCTCCAGATCTGCCTCAGATAACTCTCAGGGAGGTTTAAAGTCTTCTCGGAGGCATCGGAGCAGCCCGAGCTCCAAGCACGCTCCCGGGCGACAGCAGCGTGACTCTCAATCCTGGCGCAGACTGGCACAGGACCGGTCTCTCATGTTGTTCTCAGGCTCCGCACCCTCACCGCTTGCAGAGACCGGCGCAGCCAGCGTGCCGGTAGGATTCCAGACTCTGGCCTGGAGCTTCTGCCGACAGGAAAAACCCTCAAAGCCTTCACTGCTCTTTCCCCTTCCGATCAGGCCGCGGGCGAGCCCGAACACGGCCAGCCGCTGGCCGCCGAGTGACAGAATGGGAGCGATAGCCTTGGTGGCAAAGGAGTGGACAGTGGAGTTGCATGTTTCGCATGGAAGGGCCTCAAGTAGAGTCAGTAGAGGATTCTTGACAAGAAGCCAGCACCATGAAACCCATGAAATGCAGTTGCACATCCCAGCCTTGCAGTGATTCGCCACATTCACCGCACCTCGCTCACAGCACTGGCGCCGCCTCTTGCGGTGAGCTCAGCGGCATGTCCGGGTCCGCAGAGTTCCACTTGAAGGCAGGCACAGCTTTCGGGCTCCTGTGGTGCACTTCCTGTCGAGCGCACTCGACTGCACTGCATCGCAGCATTGCAGTGTCCTCGCCCACATCCGAGGGAAACCTCCAGGCGAGGCAGAGCATCGCAGAGCATGGCAGAGCACAGGGTCACCAAACGTCCGAAGTCCGAAGTCCGGGTGGCAAGGTGGAGCGCATCATACTCCCACCGGTGTCGCAAAGGCCAAAGGCGGCAGCTATGTGCCTGCGACTTCTGTGCAGCCACAAGGTCCCTGAAGCTCCAATTCCAATGACGGTTTCTACGGCTCCAAAGTCTAAAGGGTCAGGCCAGGATGCCCACCCGTAGTCTCGTTTCGCAGCCAGAACAGCTCTGCACTGCTCACCGGGTCCAGGAAGCATTGGCGGTCGATGGGAACGGCAGAGGCCTGCCATGGGACCCAGGGCATCCAGGGTTCGGGTGCTGCTGCAAGGTGAGATCTTTTTGGGCGCACAAAATCTTGTCAAGCAGTCGTCAACTCTAAAGCCGAAGTACGTGGCCTCGCCCTTTCCCCTGACTCCTGCCTTGCAAGGAACCACGCGGCCAGTACCGTCTGGAAGTAGAAGTGGAGCCAGCACCTCGGAAGTGCTGCTAAAACTCCCCACACTCTAGCTGACTCTAGCTCAATGATTGGTGCGAGCTTTCACGGGATCCCACCTCGGGGACGAAGTTCTCCGCAGGATCGCTGGCGTATACCTTGGACGGGATTAAAGTGGGCACCCAGCCACCCTCGCCTGTGAATCCCTTCTTGACAAAAGCCGCATCCCTGTTCTCACCCCAGGGCACCAGCCATGAGCAGAAAGCTGGGAGAAGAGACCGGCTGCTGGTGGAATTGCGGAGGACCGAAGAATGATCTTGCACGCGTTGGTCTTCTGATGTCTTCTGTCATTTTATAACACGAATTTAATGAAGCCGTTCGGTGGCGGTATCATTACATGCACAGCACAGCTTGTTTGACTGCTCGCAGCTGATGCCTGTTTGCATGGCACGCCTGTCCTGTCTGCAAATCCTAAACCGGTCTGGTCTTCTCTCTGAACACTCCCTCACACACAGCATGCAGCAGAAGAACAACTCTTACTATCCTCATCGCCACGGGGCCGGGCAACCCGCAACTGCACGTGCCGCGGCATGAACGGTCGCATGCCACTCTCCCGTCTTCAGCCTGCTTCCCAGCGGGGTCGCTTTCGATTGCACTGAGTTTTCATGGGATGTGAAGCGGAACATGCGTGCAAGTCACCGACGGTCGCCCTATGGAACCCTAAACTCTGCACTGTGACTAGTGAACAACTCTTGCCAGAAACATACCATGCTTCATTCCTACAGGACACTGCCAATATCTCTCAATCATGTCAAAGCTACATGTCCCAGTCGCAGTGCACGAAGGGCGCCAGCCAAAGCGAATTGGAAGCACAGTGCCAGATGTGTCGAGCGACTGACCTGCAAGAAAGGCTTCCTTGCGTACCCCATGCTGCGGGCCATCATTCCCACCAGCGAAAGCTCTTGAAGCTTCTCCAATGCCCTATATTCTTCGGCCTTGCATCTTCAGGAACACCCGGATATGCATGGTCATCAGACACGCGTGTGAGCACCTGGACATATTCGTGGACCGGCGCACGACTTGGCGTGGAAGGACTTTGTGGCTATTCGAAGGATTACCAAGATACCCTAATCGTGGCCTTCATGCCAAAGCACATGCAACACACAGAAATGCTTCTTGCAAGCTGTGGCGCTGCAGACCCTCCATGAACACAAGGAAGCGTCATGGCCATGCAACTGATGACCTGCAGATGGTTTCACATGCTAGCACATTGCACTTCGATGCCTTGGAGTGATTCGGCAGAGGAAATTGAAGGCACAATTGGACTGTTGCCATGCCGCAACAGTCCGGTCCCCCTCCTTGCGATCAAACCTTGTGA